TCAGGATGGTGGGACTTCCATCTTGGGTGCATTGGGCATGTTATCAGGAGGGACCAGTCCCTGGAGGAGGACATAATACATGGTAAAGCAGAGGGTCAGCAAAAAAGAGAAGACCCTCAATGAGATGGGTTGACAGAGCGGTTACAGTAGTGGACTCAAACATAGCAATGATTGTGTGGATGGCACGGGACAGGGCAGTTGTTTATTTTGTTGTACATAGATAGGGCCACTGTGAGTCAGAACTGACTCTTAACAATAACAGTGTCATTTTCCAGTTTTTAAAGAAAGTCTGAACTAAGGCCAGCAGCTTTTTTTCCTTTTAAAGACTTCTTCCACATCAATTTTCCTATTGCTGATTTTACTCCTGGTATGGTGCTGTAGGATCAGCCACTGGACTGTGATCCACAAGGTCGGTGGTTCAAACCCACCAGCTACTTTTTGGAAACCCTATACAGGGTCGCTGTGAGTCGGGACTGACTCAATGGCACTTAACAACAACCATCACTTTGGATATTTGTTCAGTATGTGATATGTCAGATGTGCTGTCAAACATGATCTCAAGGTATTCTGCAAACTTTATGTCCATGACAAATTTCTTCATATGAGTTTCCAGGGCATTTATGGACTTGTTTTCAGTTTTTGGTGCAGGATTAGGGACTGTTACTTCAAGTTTACATGTGATTTGTTTTAATCTCATTAGGTGCTCTTTCAGCCCTGGATCATATTTTGAAATCATCTCAGTCATCTCAAGAAAAGTTCCCTCTATTCAACAAAGATTTATCTTTGTGGCCATAGAATATCAGATCCTGCCTGGCAAGAAGCAATGTGATATCAAGCAATCTGTACAGGATGTCTGTCCACCTTTTCTTCTTCATTTCCATTAAAGCAGTAGTTTTGGCACCATTGGCTTTGTGCAGCCTCAGTCAGCTACCAATATTTTCCTCTTGGAAGAAGTACAGTTGCAATGCTCTTAGAAGCGAACATTAGAAGGCAACCAAGGTGCTCTTTGGATGTTTCACGGTTATGTACTTTTTGGCTCTGTTTCCTCCACTTCTGAAACCCAGTCACAAATTTGAGTGTTGTATTTGTAGCACTAACAACAAATAGTAGATAACAAAAAACAGTATAAATTCTTGCTGACAAGTGATTAAACCGTCCACAATGGCAGCATTTTCTTGCCACTTGGCATCACCTTGTAAAACTATACTTTTGAAAGCTGGAGATCCCATCTCCCTTTGCTTTGGCATCTTGCTTTGCTGCAACATCTTTGTTCTGGAAAGAAGCACTCTTCCTTTTGATGATTTCAACCCCCAAATGATCTGGAACAGGTCTCTCCCAGAACCAAACATTTGCAAATTTGCAAATCTTTTTTCTTAAAGCCGCTCATCTCATTTTACAGAATCATGGAAATGTTAGTTCTATCAAATGTAAATTTAAATATGTCATTTCAAAAAACAACACCACAATTCAATCTTAACTCCTAAAATCAGATCTATATATTTGCAAGACCAGAATGTTTTTACAGAAAAATTTAAAGACTAAAATTTGTAAAAAACTGAATTTAAGATTTAAGCTATATTTCTTTTTTTTAAAGCTATATTTCTTAATATGTACGAGAATAGCATTTCCTCTGTTTTATGCTTTTAACTGCCAATTTCTCTACTTAGTTATCAAAGAGTTACATAATCAATCATAGTTATACATATAAGTTTATTATCAATTTAAATCACAGAATAATATGTGATACATAGAGTTATAAATGATTAAATAAATGATCATTGGATTATATAAATACTAAAAGGAGCTCTGGTAGCGTAGTGGTTACGAATCGGGCTGCGAACCTTAAGGTCAGCGGTTCGAAACTACCAGCCGCTCCGCGGGAGAAAGATGAGGCTTTCTACTCCCGTAAGGATTTACACCCTCGGAAACCCTGTACAGGGTCGCTATGGGTCGGAACCGACTCGACGGCACTTAACAACAACAACAACAACAACAACATTATTTTGTAAAATCTTTCTACCTTTAATTACATCAGGTTTATGGTTAGTCCTTTGTTGCTTGGCAATAGAAAATGAATATAGGAGGCTCTGCCTCTGAACACCTTGCACGATCCCAGGTATGTATTTTTTAAAGGAATAATTATAAAGGAGGGGTTCTGGTGTGGCACTGTGGGTTAATACACTGGACTGCAAGGCCTGTTTGAACTGCAAGATTGGTGGTTCAAGCTCACCAGCCACTCCTCGGAAACAGGGTGGCTATAAGTCAGAACAGACTCTATAGCACTAACAATAATCATAAAGGACAGCGAGTTCTCAGAGTGTATGCATCTACCACCACTGGGGACATAGTTTCACTTTTAGCTACATTTTTGTTTTTCAGTATTATCTCTAGTAGTTTGCAGAGGGCTGTCTTGTAAATTAGCAGCCAGGGATATTATATTTGTTTGGTTTTCTTTATAAGATTTCATCACCTCAAACTCCTGTTCTAAAATTGCTGACTCTGGGGGGTGCCTTTCATCTTGGTTCAAACGCTATTTCCTAAGCACTGAGCTTGGGGACCATGATTATAGTGTTGTTCGTTACTGTTAGTTAAATTGGTCCTGACCTTGGTGACCTCCTACATAGGGTTGTTCCTGACTGTAATCTCAAGAGGAGCAGATCCTTCTATGGTTCCAGTTGTTGTTGTTAATTGCTGTTGACTTAGTTCTGACTCATAGTGACCCTGTATAGGGTTTCTGAGGAGCATCTGGTGAGTTTGAACCGCCAACCTTGTGGTTCAAACTGACCTTGCCTTGGAGTGCATGCACCACAGCAGGACTCCATGGTCCCACCCTAGGGGGTGGTGGTGGCACGGGTTCCAACCAGGAACCTTTATGTTACCAGTAGAGTACAAACCATTTGCGCCACCTAGGGACCTAGTTATTGGGTACTGGTGTGACACTGTAGGATAAGCATTCGACCACAAGTTTGGTTTGAACCACAAGGTCGGCAGTTCAAACTTACCAGCAGCTCCTTGGAAACCCTATACAGGGTTGCTACGAATCAGAACAGACTTGATGGCACTTAACAAGGACCTAATTATAGGGTATAGGCTATATTTCAAGAGCTGCCTATTTCAGTATAACATTCCAACCAAAAATTATACCTATTGGAAGAAGACTGTTTTCTGCATTTTTACACACAAGACACACCGGGGAGCCAGCATTCAGCTCAAGAAGCAAAATATTTCTATCACTCCAAGTACCGAGCCCTGTATTCACTTCAAGTCACTTTGGCTGCACAGATCATAGTAGTGAGGTGCATTTGCCTCAGGGCACCATATTTTAAGTGATAGCTTCAGAGAATGCCAAATGAATAGCCCAATGGTCACCAAGATTGCTAGGCCAATCCCAGCCATGGAAACAACAGTGTGGTTTTCATGACAGAAATAAATGAGGCCACATACAGGGCCACTGAATTGATGCACAGGATGTATTCCTGCAGATCATGGATTACGTAATACATCATGTTGTTGTTAAGTGCCGTCGAGTCGGTTCCGACCCATAGCGACCCTGTACAGGGTTTCCGAGGGTGTAAATCTTTACGGGAGCAGAAAGCCTCATCTTTCTCCCACGGAGCGGCTGGTAGTTTTGAACCGCTGACCTTAAGGTTCACAGCCCGATTCGCAGCCACTACGCTACCAGAGCTCCTTTATCATTCCCAAAATTCAAGCCTAGCCTCCTCATTGAAATAACTGTCAAGTAGGATTGGCATGACTTCACATTTGGGACCGAAAGTGAGACTTATTAACATCTTTAATACCGCTTAGTTTCCAATGAGCATAATTCTAATTCACACAGTTGCTCTGAACTTCCCAGCTCCCTGTGGGGCTGCAAGGGATGGGATCATGTTTTAGTATCTCTCAGACTCAGTTGTGCTGAGTCTCAGAGGCAATGTGGTTCTGGGGGACTCTGGGGACTGCCTAAATTCCACGTGGTATGATCCTGGGAAAACTCCTAAATTTCAGGGCCTTAGTTTCCTCCTCTGTGAAATGGGATGTGCTTTAGGGATAATGAAAGGTGTTAACATAAGAGAATGCCAAGCATACAGTAGGGATCAGTGAAGGTTTGTTAGCATCCATGCCAAATTCAGAGAGAAAAGCCTGTGCTCCCTTAGCTCCTCATGCTGTTTGGCCTGAGCAGGGAGACTGGTGGCTGTGCCCCGAGAAAGCTGGGGCTCAGATGCCAGGGTCAAAGGCCCAGATTGGGCAAGAGTAGAGAGATGGTTCCTCTGATCCCAGTCAGGATTGTTTGGAGACACTGATAATTCTGAATTCTAGGGAATTCAGAGGCAGGAAGTGAAGGGGGAGGAGAAAGGGCAGAGGCAAAAGAGCAAACAGCACCCTAGTCCTCCTGGCCTAGCCCCCTTCCCAAGTCACACAATGAGAGTGTGGTGACTGACATATGGGAATGGAGGGTACAAACCTGGAGACCCTCCTTCCCAGGGTGAAGTGCAGAGGTACTCCCATCCCCCACTCCCACCCCTGACTCACCCCTGAAGTTCCAACACCACATTTCCAGTTCTGTTTACTGTCCAAAGTCCTGGGCATAGGAGATGCCAGGTTAGGCGGGCTTGGAGACACACAGACACAGACACATAGGGCTCGGGGTCCTTGTATAGACCCTGTGGCCTCCCCTTCCTGTGTCCAGCACTGTCTACCTACCCTAATTCTCAGCCCTCTTCTTAGCCTGGGATCTGCACAGCATCGAGGGACCTCAAGACTGTCATCAAGTAAAACGTGGGAGACAGGGGTGGAGTGGGGAGGGAGGAATGGGGGTAGGTAGGACTAGTCGGAGGATAGTTTTGGATTTCAGGACTCAGTGGGAATGGAGAAAAGGAGGAAGGTATCCCTGTAGGTACCGATCAGATTTAGAAAGAAGTCAGCCCCCACTCTACAGCTCTGGTTCCATTCAGCTCCACTCTGAGCCTTAACCTTGGCCTTAATATAGCGCCAGCTCTATCATGACGAAGGAGTATCACGATCTTCAGCATCTGGACAATGAAGAGAGTGGCCATCAGGAACTCAGACAGGGTGAGAAATGCTCAGAAACCCTTTACCTCTCTACCTCAAATGCTTCTGAGAGGTGAGCATTTGGTGCCACTCCCCACCTCTGCCTCAGCTCCACTTTTTTCTGTGACTGCAGTCCTCTCAGGAGGAAATACAGGGAGTGGAATTGGAGTCTCTTTCTGGGGACAGGTGCCTAAGACCTCTGTAGGCCTCTGGACCCTCACCTTGGTACCTACCTTATCATACTGGGGAGGGTGAACCCAGGGGTGTGAATTGGAAAGGTGACGTGACCCCCAGTTGGTTGTAAAGAAGTTAGGCCCCACCCCTTTTGTCTTCCAAGACCCAGTGAGCTCTGTGTATGTGTGGTGTCGAATCATTGTTCAAGGTGGGGAGGTTTTTGTGAGGAGGAACAAAGGCATTGTAGGAGCAACAGTTCTGGAGGGAGAGGTGGCCCAGGGCACTGAGTGGAAGGCAGGAGAAACAGTGATTCCAGGAGGGGCCTGGTTTGGGGGCACTGGTTGAGGAACACAAGGAAGTAGAAGGATTGGACTTCAGGGTTCTGAAAGAACTTCTCAAGGGGCTTAGGTGGGCGTTTAGGAGTGGGGCTAGGCCTCTAGGGGCCTGTGATTGGAGGATGCATGAAGCCCTCCTGCATCAAAGACTTTGGATTATTATGTGAGAGAAAGTTCTATTTTATTAAAAACGGACAAAAATAAGCCCCTCTTCTTTCTCACGTGGGTAGGGAATATTTTGGCTAAGTATGGACAATGTTCTTGGGCTTTAAGGGTGGGCAGTGTGCTTCAAGGGAAGAAGGAGCTGCAGGGATGAAGAGAGGAGGAGACAGAAGCAGAAAGGTGCCCTGAGAAGGGTGTCATTGGTGTTATTCTCTTCTCTCTGAGTAGGAGCAATATGAGGGACCCAAAGTCTGGCTTCTCTGCCTTCCCTCCTTGTGCTCAGTCAAGGAAGGATGAGATTCCTGGTAGGTAAGAGAAAGGTGAGCGGATCACCCACTCTGTCTCATCTGGTATACAAACCTCACCCTCAGATCCATGGGTCCTGAGGTTCATAAGCGGCAATGACACAATCATGCCACTAGGTGACAGCAAAGGCTCAGAGTCTGGGTCGGGCCTAGGAAGGTCAAAGCTTTGCTTGGTGCTGAGGATCAATGCACTGAACTGCAAGGTCAGCTTGAACCACAAGGTCGCTGTTCAAGCCCACCAGTCGCTCCTCAGAAACCCTATAGAGGGTTGCTATGAGTTGGTGTCGACTCAACAGCATTTAACAACAACAACAACAACAACAATTCTCCTCAGAGGAGTGCTGCTGTGGCTCTGTGGGATAAAGCACTGGACTGCAGGGTCAATGTAAACCACAAGGTCGGCAGTTCAAACTCAGCAACTGCTCTGGGAAACCCTATACAGGGTCACTACGAGTCTGAACCGACTTGAAGACACTGAACAACAAGTTACAACATTCTCCCCTACCTTCAGGTGCCTCTTGTCCTCATTCCCTACTGTCCAAATTTTTTCTGTCTGAGTGGTACAAACAGTTAATGTGCTTGGCTGTTAACAAAAACATTGGCCGTTTAAGTCTACCCAGAGGCTTAGCGAGAGAAACAGTGATTCCCGGAGGGGTCTGGTTTGGGGGCAGTGGTTTAGAAACACAAGGAGGTAGAAGGATTGGACTTTAGGGTTCTGAAAGAACTTCTCAAGGAACTTAGGTGGGAGTTTAGGGGTAGGGCTAGGCTTCTAGGGGCCTCTGAAAAAAATCAACCATTACAAACCCTAGGGAGCACAGTTCTATTCTGACGTACATGGGGTCGCCATGAGTTGGAATTGACTCAGTGACAACTAGTTTGGGGTCTTCCTAGCACATTAGGGGAGCCTTAGTCTGCTCCCTTCCCAGGACTCCAAAGTGGCTCAGGCTTCCCTCTGCTCTTGAACTTCTGACACGCTGCTCCCTTCTTGCAGCGCTACCTCCTCCCCAGTCCCTCTTGAGGCGTCTCTGCTCTGGACCTTGCCTCCTCCTGCTCTCCCTGGGTCTCAGCCTCCTGCTCCTGGTGGTCACCTGTGTGCTCGGATCCCAAAGTAAGGTCACAGATGGGGCAATATTGGGGGAACTCCTAAGTTATATGTGGAAGCAGTGATGCTGGGGTGATAGACACATCCTGTCTCCTGCCCAGATTCCCACCTGCAGAAGGAGTTGCAGGCCCTGAAAGTGACATTCAGAAACTTCACAATGCTCACTGAGGCTGAGGTCAAGTCGCTGAGCACACAGGGTGAGGGGGCAGGGCTAGTGCTGGGGGGCCAGGAAATGGTGTGGATGTTGGGATGTTAAACAAGTCTCCTCTCCACCAGGAGGCAGTGTGGGGCGAAAGATGAAGACCCTGGAATTAGAGTTGTTGAAGCAACAGCAGTCCCTGAGTGAAGGTTAGGATGAGAGCGTGTGTGTCTGTGTGTGTGTGTAGGATCTAGAGGCTCCTTCAGGTCAAACAAAGGGGTCTCCTGGAAGGGGCATCAGCCATTGGTCTCTGGGCCCCCAGCATGACTGAGCCCCCCCATTGTCCCTACTGACTTCATCCTCCACCCTCTCCCTGTCCTCTAAGCTCTGTCCTCTGTCTCACCAGAACACTCCAGCTTGCTGCTCTATGTGAAACAATTTGTGTTTGACCTGCACAGCCTGAACTGCCAGATAGCTGTCCTCCAGGGCAATGGTGAGGAGGCAGGGTGCCCAGCTCACTTCCCTGTCCAACCCGGCTTCAGGCTGTGCCTCAGCCCCTCCACCATCTGCCCTCTTAGGCACTGAAACTCTCTGCTGCCCTGTGAACTGGGTGAAGTATAACAGCAGCTGTTACTGGTTCTCGCGCTCTGGGAAGTCCTGGCACGAGGCACAGAAGTACTGCCAGCTGGAGAATGCCCACCTGGTGGTGGTCAACTACCAGGAGGAGCAGGTGAGGACTCCAGAAGACCTCATTTGGGAGGGTGGCTGGTCTAGGGAGAAGCTACCATCATTCACCTTTCTCCCCAGGATTTTATCCAGTCCCACACAGGCTCTATGAACCACTGGATGGGCCTCACCGATGAAAACGGGCCCTGGAAATGGGTGGATGGGACCAACTACCAGACAGGCTTCCAGTGAGTGTGTGTGTTCTCCCATAGCTCTGTTCCCTCTGCTCAGCCTGGCTGGTCCCAGGGACTCCTCAGGACTTGGCTAAGGATGGACCTCCTGGGTTATACCCACATGTGTTCTGTCTCCTCAGGAACTGGAGGCCAGAACAGCCAGACAACTGGTACGGGCATGGCCTTGGAGGAGGCGAGGACTGTGCCCACTTCACTGACAATGGTCGCTGGAACGATGATGTCTGCCAGAGGCCCTACCGCTGGGTCTGTGAGACAAAGCTGAATGGCACCAGCTAGGAACCATCTCTCCCCCTAATTTATTTCCTCAATGATTTGACTTGCCCACAGGGTCTAGGATTGAGGATCCTTCTGTATGGGGGGCCTCTCCCACCTTCTCAGGGATTTTCATGTAAAAATTGAGGGGAAGGGGGAAGGATGGTGTCTGAGAAATGTAGAATGATGTTTGCGGGTATGGGGAGATTGAAACCGGTCACTTTCTGTAATTTGCTATAAAGGTTACTATTGTCAACTTTTTTTTTAATAAAAAGAAGAGAAATAGACGTTAAAAATTCTAGGAGTTGTCTGGTTATCGGGGACCAGCATTGGGAGTAACCAGGGTGACATGAGAAGGCCTTGGGAAGGCAGAATGATGTCATGGGAATGGCTTAGGCTTGAGTCACATGACCTAGGTTAGGCACCAACTTTGTTATTTACTGGTATGTGAGTTTGAGCAAGTTGTCTACTCTCTGGGTCTCTATTATAAAATACTGTTGCTACTGGGAGTCATTTTACTTGTAGTAATAGTCCCAGGAATTGTGTTGAGTGCTTCAAAAGCCTTGAATGAAACTCACTACTTTCTGTTGGATTCATTACAGTAAACAGAAGAAATACTATGGTTAGCCACCTCAAAAACAAAGAGAAGCCCACACCCAAGAACCACCCCATATCTGAGGAAAAGCCCTACCATGGGAGAGTAGCACCAAAAAAAAAAAAAAACTAACCAAAAACCAGAATCAACAACCAATAAGCAGAGTTAAAGGACAATGAGATTCAGACTTAACACACACTTGAGGGATTATTAACAAACAATGACAAAGTACTAGCCCACAAAGAAGACTTCAACTCATTTCCCCCAAGAACAATGCTTTGGCTATGATAAAATCAAGTTAGAAACTATCTTAGGAATGTAGTAAAAAAAATATCCAGCAACATGTAAAAATTTTACCCTTTTTGTAAAAAAAAAAAAAAAAAAAAAAAATTGTGCATTGAGAGAAAGTAGAGACAAAATCATCAGCTTTACTGTCAACCAATCATGTGTTTTGTTTCGTCTCAATGATTACAATTCCCTCCCTGCAACAACAGTTATCCTGCTTCCACCCTGTGGCTTCCCTTTTACATCTTGTTTTTCACAAATCAGCAAAGCAAAAATATTTGATGTACACATACAAAACAAAAAATACATATTAATATAAATGTCCAAAGGGCACGTTTTTGCAAGCCAGCCTCCTGCATGCAGGCACATAGCCTTACTCAGTCCATGGGCTTAGAGCCTGCAACTGCTCTGTCTCTCCAAGTCATCGAGTCTGCCACCATCTCTGCTGTCACCACCTATCTAGGTAGAATCTCACGCTCCGCTCATGCTTTTCCTTCTTGATGGTCCTGGGATCCTCTGCTCCTGAAATGAAAGATGAACTACTCCCCCTTTTTATTTACACATCTTCTACAATTACAGTTGTGACAATCACAATTAATCCTAATAACAATTACTCACAATTGAATCATAAAATCCTATCACCCTCATCCCCCATGCCCTTTCAGAGCCATCTGGAAAAGAGGCGAACTATTCAGTGGGGATTCTACCTTACCCTCCTCATTTTGAAACTAAGCACATGGATGAAAACTTGTAAGTCAGACACTTCATGCCTTTATAGCCTCCCCATTTTTGATAGCCAATGCCTAAATTGTCTGCCCTAGCAACCTCAAGCACTGAGGAAACCAGCTTGTTCCTTGATATGAAGAATCCTTCCATTTGGGTTAGAATTATGAGAAACTGCATCCATAAGCAAAGGTCCAGTTCACCAAATTGTAGCAATGTACGTTTGCTCATAGTATCAACTCACAAGCCACCATAGTACGACAAACTGACAGACGAATGGTAGATTTTAAATACCAGCAGGATCACCCATGGTGGACAGGTTCCAGATGAGCTTCCATACAAAGACAGACTAGGAAGAAGGAGCGATGAACTACTTCCAAATATTTAGTCACTGAAAACCTTATGAATAGCAGAGAAACGCTGTCAGATATAGTGTCAGAAAATAAACTTCTCAGGTTGGAAGGCACTCAAAATGAAGACTGGGGAAGAGCTGCCTCCTCAAAATAGAGTTGACCATGATGATGTAAATGGAGTAAAGCCCATGGGACCTTCATTTGCACAACTTAAAATGAAGAGAAACAGCTGCAAACATCCATTAGTAATCGGACCATGGAATGTATGAAGTATGAATCTAGGAAAATTGGAAATTGTCAAAACTGAAATGGAACGAATAAACATCGATATCTTAGGTATCAGTGATCTGAAATGGACTGGTATTGGCCATTTTGAATCTGACAAACACATGGTTTACTATGCTGGGAATGATAAATTGAAGAGGAATGGTGTTGCATTCATTGTCAGAAAGAACATATCCAGATCAGTCATGAGGTACAATGCTGTAAGTGATAGGATAATATCCATGCACCTACAGGGAAGACGAGTTAATACCACTATTATTCATATTTACGCACCAACCACTAAAGCCTGTGAGGATGAAATAGAAGAATTCTACGAACTTCTTCAATCTGAAATTGATCAATGCAATTAAGATGTATTGATCATTACTGGTGATTGGAATGCAAAGGTTGGAAACAAAGAGGAAGGTTCAGTAGTTGGAAAATATGGCCTTGGTGATAGAAATGATGCTGGAGAT